TTATGCATATGTTGGTTTGCTTGTTGCTGTGTCAAAAAGTGTATAATTCTGTTCATTTTTCTTCTATATTGTCTGTCTCTGCATTTCCATTGTTTTAATTAAGCTTTCTTCAAATTTGCTAATTCATTTTTCTAAGCATTCACAAATCTGCTTTTTAGCCTCTCTACTGAACTTTTCATTTCAGTTATTATGCCCTTCCACTCCAGAATTTTCATTTGGTCTTTAAAAAAATTATTTCTCTTTTTCATTGAAAGATTTTATTGGCTTATTCATTGTTATTATACTTCCTTGTAAATTCTCAAACATGACTTTTTTAGTATTCTGCATACATTTTTAATAGCTGCTTCAAATCTTTGTCTGCCAAATCTAACGTCTGTACACAGTTAAAGACAAATTCCATTAATTTTTTTTCTTGAGTATGGGTTATATATTCTTTTTACTTTGAATATTTTATGACTTTTGGTGCAAATTGAATTTTTTTATCCTAACTCACCTGGATTATAATAATTGAACATTTTAGATAATATAGGTACTCAGGTTTATAGTTATTTCTTTAAAGATTATTTTCACTGCTTTTTTATTCTTTTTTGCTTCTGTGGCTGAATTAAGTCTTAGAGATTTTCCTCTCTCATAATTGCAGCTGCTGACATGCTGCTAAGAAGATGATCACAGCTTTTATTATAGTTATTTTTTAAGCCTTGCTTCCTATGTTTTTCTTTTGTCTTTGTAGTTTTGTGGACAGCTAAGTATTTAACACAGTTTGTGTTCAAATACATCAAGCTAACAAGGCTTTCATTCTCTCAGATACACCTTTGTGCATAGCGTAGGGCATGCAAAATTCAGGCCACTTTTACATCTACCCCAGCATTTGCTTCTCACTGAGACATTTTGTGTTTATTAACTGAATATGCACAGCTTTATGGTCAATTAAGAGTTTGGAAATATCTAGGCCCTCTTTGGGCTCTTTCATGCCTGTGTGAAATCTCAGCCAGTAATATACTTGCTTCAATTGTGACTGCAACCTCAGGCCATTTTCCTTACCCTTGGTGAAGATTATCACTTACACTAAAAACCCCTCTGGGTATGGCTTTTGCTCATTACTCCAAAAAGGTTAACCTTCTTCAACAATGGCAATGCAGTTGCTGAGATTTGTACTCTGTCCTGTATAAAACTTTCATGCCAACCAAGCCAGGGGTTGAAATGGGAGTATCCCTGAGCAAGAATATCACAGACCTCTCTTTTTATTCCTAAAGTCAGGATTTTTTCAAGTTAAATGCTCCTCAGATCGGCATAGACTGCTGATCAATTTTCAGATTGCTAAAATGGTTTTCTTCGTCAATTTTGTCTAGCGTTATAGTTGCTTTTTGAGGAGAGGATCTGCCAACCACCTCGTTAAGTCATAGTCTGAAGTGTCACACCTTAGAATTTTATGTAGATTCCCAAGCCAGATAAGAAAAATTTAAGAGAGAAGGTATAGATTCATTTTTTAAGGACATAACTGCAAATTTTCTAAATAAAACATTAGTATCCAATTTATTTAAAATATAAAGTATAATTTAGGAAACAAGAATAGTTTAACATTATATAATATATTCAGAAATTTATTTACATTAATAAACTAAACATAAAATTATTTAAATTATTGCAAAAAAGGTTTAATAACAAGACAAACATATTCAGAAAATTAAAAATAGAAATTTTCAAAACTTGCTAAAGTGTATAGATAAAAACCGCTGTGATGAATATTACACTTAATGGAGAAACTTTAGAGGTAGTTCCTTTAACATGAAGAGACAAAGGGATATTTGATGTTCATTATCATCACTAGTATTTAATCATTGAACTCTGGATCCTTTACCAATTACATAAGAAAAGAAAGAAAGAAAGATGTGCTAAGATTGAAAACAATATTATAAAACTTTTGTTATATGTAGATAATATGATCAACTACCAAGAACAAAAACAAAAGTTGCCTGACATAAGATTAACCTGAAGAAATCAATAGAATTTGTTTGTATCAATAGTAAACAGATCAAATGCAATAAAAAACCAAATATCTTCAAAATAGTAATAAATTTACACTTTTAAAGTATTAACAAAAATTATAAAAATCTGAATATTTTATAAATTTTATAAAGTAGATTATAATTATATTAATTAATCATAAATTATTCTGTGCTCTTGAGGGGAGAAAATTAATACCGTAAAAAGTCAGTTTTACCCAAATTAATTTATAAATTCCTTGTATCCCTAAATACATTGGGTTACCAAATTCAAGATGAAATTTTTATAAAGTCAATTATTTTTGTCTCTGACATATATATGAAAACCATATATCTATGCATAGGTCCATCAACTTTTAACAACATGAACTAAGTAGGGGACTTACCATAGTAGTTATTAAAGCAATAAGTGAACCTGAAAAAAGAGGGACCTCAGAAACACGCACTTACACTCGTGTGAAAATATTGTATACTGTTAGCAACCTAAATTATGAGAAACATTGAATGAATGAATTCATCAATTAAAAGAAAAGTCTTCACATGTACACAAAACATCAGAAATCAGAAATTATGGATGACTGAACTGAGATGGTAGAGATGGAAATGGAGAAAAGGAGTTAGACTTTGGAGGCAGTACCAACAAGACTTGTTGATGGAGTAAATACCAGAGTTGGGAAGTGAAAGGATGACATACTAATGAAGAGAAAATTAGTAATGAAAGAGAGAGTGAGAAGACGTCTGTAGGAGGAAATTCCTTGAATTGCAGAGCACCTTATTCTTAGAGTGAGTATCAGGATTGATTTTTGATGGGAGGAATCTAAGAAAAAAATGAGTACATTGTTCTGTTTTATAGCGGACAGACAAACAACAATAACAAAAAACACATGGTACAATTGCGTGAATCCTTTTAAATACAGAGACAAGTAGACATTTAGACAGAACTTATGTGAAAGGCACACAGCCAAATATTAACTGCCTTAACTTTTTAATTTAAGTTACTAATTATTTATGTAAGTAGTTTCCTAAGTAGTGAACCATGTCACTATCAGAGTTTTATCTAGAAGGTTTTTTTTTTTTTACACTTGTTTTGGTCACTCAGGTATAAAATATTAATAGAAAGTAATTTTATATCTTAAAACTGTAATTTTAGCCCAGCGCAGTGGATCACACCTGGAATCCTAGCACTCTGGGAGGCTGAGGCGGGCAGATCATCTGCGGTTAGGAGTTTCAGACCAACCCTGACCAACATGGAGAAATTCTGTCTCAACTAAAAATACAAAATTAGCCAGGCATGGTGACACATGCCTGTAATCCCAGCTACTCGGGAGGCTGAGGTAGGAGAATTGCTTGAACCTGGAAGGCAGAGGCTGCAATGAGCTGAGATCGCACCATTGCACTCCAGACTGGGCAACAAGAGCGAAACTCCTCCTCAAAACAAAACTAAACAAGTAAACAAAAGCTGTAATTTTCTATTTTGAAACTCATTCTTGATTGAAATTTAATAAATTTGTGTATATACAGAAACATAACTAGCTCTATTTTTTAGGTAGCAGGTTAAAATCAGTATGTTTGTATGTATTTTGCTTTTTTTGTCATTTTCTCTTATTTTATATTTTTAAACACCATAGATATGTCATTTTTTTATGAAGAAGAGAGAGGAGGAAAAGGAGAATGGATATTACAGAGTGAGCCACTCTCTGTATGTGATAAATAAGGCACATACAAAGTTGCCACTAGCTCTTTCTGGCCTCCACAGATTTTGTAGAATATGAAAGTAGCTCTCTTTTGCAGCAGATAAAGAATTTGCAATTATTCATCAATTTTGTGGTGTCTGCTATTGTTTTAAAAATGAGACTGATTGAGCCCCGGCAAAGAGTTTAGTAGACTATGTTTACTATGGAGGCTGAGGTTTTCAGACGTTCTTGGCTAACACTGCCAAGGAAGATGTCGGTGTGGTTAGACCATGGATGTTATAAGTAATTAAGGTGTGCTAACCCTGACTGATTACTTTAATTATGTGTTGGAACCAGTAGAGAAGGAAAAGAAAGAGGAAAGTAGAGAAGAAACTGCATAGGAGACCTGGAGTGATGTGAGTGGTGGTCAGAATAGCTGATGGTAGTCCCAGCTTTGTCAATAACCCATTTGTGAGATATTGTAGGCTAGATATTTCCACCAATCTGGGTCCTAAAGTTTTATTTTTTAATTTAATTTTTTTTGTATAAATGTAAAAAATATTATATAAATTTAAAAATGTGTAAAGTGAAATGGTTTGTATACTAGGCTCAATTTGCAGTTTCTTTCTTTTCTTTTCTTTTACTTCTAATGTTTTATTACCTTTTTTTTTTTTAACAAAGAACATTTTTTTAAACAAAAAATTAGCCTGAGTCCCCGGCTGCAAAATAGATATAAACCAGCAACTCTAATTGAATTAGGAGTACCTTCCAGGTACTACAACATATTTAGTAAAAAGCAAAAGAGAAAAAGAGAAAGAGAATAGAATGAGTCAAATGCCTGCTAGAACACGTTCAACCCTGAGACTGGCTTTTAAAACTTAGTTTCTATTTGGTCTTAAACTCATTTTATAGATGAAAAAATTGAGATCCAGAGATATATACATTTTCCAAGTTACATAGGCAATAAGAATTCTAAGATTTGAACTTAGTTCTACAGTTCCAGGAAAGCTCGTCTTTGGGCTAAGACAGGACAAGAGGAATGAGAAATGATGGCCTTGGAAGGCAGACATCACACTGGCTCACTCCACCTCTTAGTTTCTGTCAGTGCCTCAGATGTTTTCAGTGCTGGGTCATGGGCTGGGCCTATGGACAAGATGTACCAGATACTTAGCCCACCCCTGGACTAACCCGTGTTCCCTCCCTTTTAAGTAGTTGGCTTTAAAACAGGTATTACCTAGTAATTAAGGAATAAACAGATAGCTCTAAGTAGAGTCGAACCTCCTCTCAAAAGTAAACATGACAGGTTAGCTCCAAATAGTCTCACCTCTGTTGGGGCAGTAGCCTTGGTAGCTCTTGCTAAATACCTGGACCTTTTCTGTGATTTTGCTTGGTTTTCCCTGGAAGAGGACAAAGAATAGCATAGTTTAAACGTTGTTTGCTCAACTTTTAGAAATAACAGCATACATAGTAAACTTAATTTTACTATTCTTCAACCTAGTCTGGCATGTTAAAATTGGAGGTATGTTCAGAAATGGGCACAATATCTAAGATCTCCCATGAACATTGAAAAATATCTTGAACATGGTATTATTATTATGGTTATTTGAGACGGAGTCTTGCTCTGTCACAAGGCTGGAGTGCAGTGGCGCGATCTCAGTTCACTGCAACCTCCGCCTCCTGGGTTCAAGCGATTCTGTTGCCTCAGCCTCCCCCGTAGCTGGGACTACAGGTGCACACCACCACACTGAGCTAATTTTTGTATATTTAGTAGAAACGGGGTTTCACCATGTTAGCCAGAATGGTCTCCATCTCTAGACCTTGTGATCTGCCCACTTCGGCCTCCCCAAGGAACATGGTATTATTGTCAGCAAGAATCTCTACCTTTAAATGCGTAACAGACTACCTTCCGGGACTATTTCCAACAGCCAGGTAGTCACCAACTCTCAAAGATAACTGCATTATTCTTTGAATGCAGTTTTTGAAAGACAATATTCACACTGAAAGTGCTTATACTGGTTCTAATTCCAACATCTAGGGACCCACAGAGCCAATCAATTTTCTCTTCCATAAGGCAGTACTTTAGCAATCTAATGACAGCTTTTATGCCTTGCACAGCCTCCTTCTTTCCAAGCAAAGATACCAATTCTATTCCAACATAATTTACACAAGTAATAAAAATAATAATTGAATGAGTGACTTCAAAATGATAAACTGTCTTCAAACCCTTAAGGCATTTTATCTTTGTTTTGCATTATTTTTCGGTACATTTATTATATTCATACTTTCAGTCTTATATTAAAACATCTGATGAAACAAGAAGAAAATTTTATAGTAATAATATACTTGCTGCTTTACATTCAGCTTTCAAAAGAAGAATTATTCAACCTACCCTGGGCCTCCCATCCTCTATTAAATCTTGTCCTGACTTCTTTATTGTTTCACAATCTCTTCACTAGAAGCAGTGTATGATCAAATGACTGAGCTTCATTACCCCAGTATGATCGACTATGTCAATCCCTAGATTAAATCCTGTGACACTTACCAAACTCACATTTAAAAAGTCAGTGATAACATAATTTTCCTAAGTAGGTAACCTCAGTATTGGCTTGCTACCACGGTTGAAGTTTTGACAGAGGTCAAAAATTGAAGCTAACTTTCCTTTTCAAAAACAAATTAGGACACTGGTTTGAGGATTTGCAATTGATAACTCAAGCCTTCTTTTACCTTTGGAGTGACAAGGGAGAGAAGGGAACCAAGTTAAGAAGCATTGGAGAGAGACTGGTAAACTTCCAGGATACTAATGCTTTCTGAGCTGCAAGGAGTTGGAAACTATAATCTACCCTTCAGTTCATCTCATCCTGAAATAATTTAGGTGTCTAAAGACACTGGCAGCTCACAGAATCAGGGTATACCTTGCTTAAGTCCTTCTGCTGGTTGGCGGCCTCAAGGAGAGTCTGGCATCATGCTTAAGCGGATCTTCTCAGCCCCTAGGCTGCAGCAGAATCAGGTCCTAACAGGCCCAAGGAATCTGACTTTCTCTCTCAAATTCATTTTTTTTCCAAAACCAGGAAGTTCAAACTGGAACTACCTCCTCAAAAGACTATAGCGTGCTACAAAAGATATTGATACCAAGTCCTCTGCTGTTTTTGGAATCTTGTTTGAATTATTATTAAAATCTTTCTAGGTGAGTGGCAATTATCCAACTTTACCTGTTGGAAAATGTCAGAGTGATCTGCTAAGCACTTTTATTTAACTATTTTGGTTTAGAAAAAATGCACTTGAAAGAAAAGAAAGAGAATACGTTTACCAGTTCAGAGGCTAGCTGTTCACTCAAACATTGGAAAGAAAGAAAGAAACCTTTACTCACAGTATCATTTTGCACGTGGCACATTTATTGATGAGCTTTATTCCTTCAAGACTTAGAAAAAATTTCTTATCCTGGGGACAGAACAGTTTTCCCTTTTTCATAAATGCCTGAAGCCCACTGCATATTTCCTAAGATAAAGCCAAAAAAAGCTATGTTAGCTAAAACTACATCAAAACAAAGTTTTAGTCTGACATATATATGTACATATATGTCTACATATATATACATACAATTCAAAGGTTTTATGAAGATTAACTATGTAAATCTTTTTTTTACATATTAAGTATGTAAAGCCCTCAGAGAGTGCCTGATGCATAGTAGATATTCAATTAATTAATTATCCTCCTTCCTTCTTCCCCCTCCATTTTTAATATTTTGATGTTTGTGAAGATTGTCGTTATTATTATTGGAATATGCTAAGATGACACATCTAAAACACCTAGCACACAGTAGGCTAATAGTAATTCCTGGAAAGAAATATGAACATGTTGCTCAAAAACTGAGGCAAGGTGTTCACTATAAAGTGCTCAATTTTCCCATGGGTGTACTGCAACATATCAGCTCCTAAAAATTTTAACAGTGTTAAATGAAAAAATGATTTCTTGGTTATATATATGTGGAAAACAATTTCCTAGGCTGGTTTATCTTGTGAAAAGGACTTGATGTCCTTTGATATATCATTTGACTTATAAGCACAGGCAGACTTACCTTAAAGCTAATAAAGCTTAAGATTCAGGGCTCTGGATTTTCACATCCCTTCCAAAGTTCTAGGAGAGGCCTAACCATTTTGCATTTTCAAATTTGTATTATGTATTTTAAAAAGTACCCATACTCCCAATAGTTGCATAAGCCCCCCCACTTTTTTTGGCATATCCTTTGGAACTATTATTTTACTATTCTGTGAGACATCTTGAAATCCTGCTGTATTTGTTTTGGGCTTTTGGTTTTGCAAATACCAATAACTGCATTATATAAAGTTTAAAGAGCAGAGTGAAAACATTTTGAATAATAGAATTGGTGGGGGAAAAGAAAGTAGAATGACCTTCAAAAGTAAGAATACTTTCTTTTTATTCATTCAATACATTTTATTAAAGTCCCTCTATACATCTCTCTTTCATTTTTAGGAGCTTAAAATATGATACATTTGTGCTACCTAGTAAAGTACTACTTTAAAATGTTATATTCCTTTTTAATTTAGAAAATTCATTATTTATTTATTTATTTATAGATGGAGTCTCGCTCTATCACCCAGGCTAGAGTACGGTGGTATGATCTCAGCTCACTGCAACCTCTGCCTCTCAGGTTCAAGAGATTCTCCTGCCTGAGCTTCCTGAGTAACTGGGACTACAGGTGCATGCTACCACACCTGGATAATTTTTGCATTTTTAGTAGAGATAGGGTTTCATCATGATGGCCAGGCTGGTCTCAAACTCCTTACCTTAAGTGATCCACTTGCCTCAGCCTCCCAAAGTGCTGGGATTACAAGGATGAGCCACTGCACCCAGTGAAAATTCACTAGGTCTTTAGATTAAGCTTTTGGAATCTAAGGGGATTTTTGTGGGTTTTAGTTTTGATTTTTCAAAAAAAAAAAATCTGATTCTTGTATCAGGAAACAAATAAAGTTTTGCTTCAACTCTGACAAACACATCCTCTTCCAAAAAATTTACTCAAGGATTCTGTTTAGGCACCTATATCTGTATCTGAGCTGTTTTGTACTTGTTTTTTTCTTTTCTTTTCTTTCCTTTTTTCTTTTCTTTTCTTCTTTTCTTTTCTTTTCTTTTCTTTCTTTTGTTGGAGAGTCAGTGTCTCACTATGTTGCCCAGGTCAGTCTTGAAGTCTGTTAGCCTCCTATATCTTTATTATCATCATTCAATGAGTCAGCAATCACTTATTATTATATTACTATACTTTGCCAGGTGCCATAGATACAGCATTAAGTAGAACAGGAGTATACTTTCCTGGATGGATAATAATGTACCTAACCTAGTCTCTTAAAAATGGTAGACTGTTGGTAGCACTTACAAAATAATTAATGGTGAAGAAGAATAACTAAATAATATCACAGACTAGCCCTAGGAAATTTTGCTAAGAACAGCCTGCTAAAATAGCTCTAAGATTATTATCACTACACAGTGACTCCATTGGAGTAGCACCATAGTAATTTCAGGACACAAATTAATAACTGAGCATCTTCAGATCTATTTGATCTCTGACTTCACAGTATCAAATGCCAACTTTGTAAGTCATGCTTACCTTGCTGAGTATAATTGATCCTAAAATCCATATAATAGAATCAGAGAAGGGCCTGATGTCTTTGTAATGAAAATATATCCCTTATGAAGGAAGTCTTATAGAAAGCGTACAGAAGAAAGACTCATGATAATCCTGGAATAAAGCTCTAAATAATCTTTTTTTTTTTTTTTTTTTTTTTGAGACAGAGTCTCACTCTGTCACCAGGTGCTAGGCTGGAGTGCCGTGGTGCAAACTTGGCTCGCTGCAACCTCTGCTTCCCGGATTCAAGCAATTCTCCTGCCTTAGCCTCCCAGGTAGCTCGGACTACAGGTGTGTGCCACCACACCCAGCTAATTTTTTTGTATTTTTAGTAGAGACAGGGTTTCACCATGCTGGCCAGGATGGTCTCGACCTCTTGACTTTGTGATCCGCCTGCCTCAGCCTCCCAAAGTCTAAATAATTTTGAATATTTGTCATAAAAGAGTAGCATCAGGCCAGGTGCAATGGCTCATGCCTGTAATCTCAGCACTTTTGGATGCCAAGGCAGGAGGTTTCCAGAAGGTCAAGATTCTCCTGGGCGATGTAATGACACCTTCTCTCTACTTATAAAAGAAAAATTAAAAGAGTTGCATCAATCAGAATAATCCCTAAATTGGACTTCTCCAATGTCACTATTAGATGAGAGCTTAATTCCTAGAAAGACTCCCTCTCTTACAAACTGAGCATCAGAGGCCCAAATAACAGGTTAAGAAACTTGTTCACAGTGATTAATCAGTTAAGTTGAGATTCAGTGCTATTTTTCTGCATTTTGAAATTATCCAATGTATTCTCTTAGGAAACAGAAAAACATAAAAATGGAAAGGCACAGTCGAGTTTTTCTCTGAGGAAAATGGAATACCCTTTCAATTACCATATAGAGAGGGCTGAAACAGAAGCATACGACCAAAAGTCATCCTGAGTTGAGTAGATGAGTTTCCAGCACCTGATAACCTGCAGTCTAACTTCCAGTCTCTGGCTTGTTTTATTTGTTTTGTTACTGTTGCTGTTATTCTCTTTTTATCATCATGTCCCAGGAAAACTGAAGCCAAGTTCTTCCTGTTTCCCTCACTGGCGGAGGTCTAATCTGTTGTCCATCTCCAGATATTATAATAAGACCCTCCATTGCTGGCTGGCATTGTCCTAGCTCGGTAATAAAACACTGACCAGTTTGCTTTTGCCTGCAGATTGACTCTTTGGTGATGATGAATTTAAGCATATTTAAAATCCTTGCAGACTACTGGGGTTTAGGTTCATGTTTATGACATTTAACATGTCTTTATGGTGCTGAAAGAAACCCAAGCTACTAAACTTGGAAAATAACAAAAATTGCAGCATCGTAAAAAAGACGATATCGATAGTTTTCATTTCTGACACAGTATCAAAGAACAAGAACACAAAGATTTCCAACTAAATAATTTCTTCTTTGTGTTCTTCTTGACTTTAATACCAATATAAGAAGGCACTAAATTTGTTTTTTAAATATTTTTCAGTAAAATAAAGGTTAATGCTATAAAAATATCAGTGTAAAATTCACAATATCTGCCGTAAATTACCAACTATCACCATGAACCCTGAAAAAAGAAAACGACTTTATGCCTGGTGAGATTCATACATAATAACCTTCTTTTTTCCAGTATAAAACAATTAAGTGAGCATGCTCTCTGCCTCCCACAGGTCTAGCCACGTTTTACTCTACCAAACTTTCTGAACCTCCCCTTAATCAGCAAACTTAGATGAAATAGTAAAGAACACGATAAAATTCTCTAGAATACGCATGTAAGAAGTTTCTTTAAAAAATTATTGAAGCAAAATACAGCAAGAGTATTTTAACCATGATTCTCAGAGTTTCAGTGTAAGGATGAACTGTTTCACCTTCATATTTCTTTAATGTTCATGGCCAGAGATATAACAAATTTTGCCACATATTCAGCAAAGCATTTAAAATTGTAATTTAAGCACTGAATTAATAGCATGCATAGCAGTGTGAGTATATATAAATACATAAAATATGTGTGTGAGAAACTAATTGGTCATCTTATCTTTCAAATAGATCAAAAATTTAACTTCTATTAGAAAATGATTTTTTAATTTATCAAACAAAAGAGTTTTAAGAGTTGGTAAAGCACTTTCTTGCCTCTGTGCTCGAAGGTGCTTCTCTCTGGTCTGCTGTAAACTGCAAAGACCTTCGTGGCTTGTTCCCCTTATGACCTTCAGATCCCTATTCTAACGCTGTCTCTCCAGAGAGAGCTTCCCTAATTATCCCTAAGAGAATGGGTACCACCTCCATTCTCAGGAATCCTGTTTTGCTTCCAGATTATTTTTCTCCTAGCATTTATCATTATTTAATGTATCATATGTTTTGCTAAGCTACTTATTAATTTATCTGTTTTCCTCCACTAAAATGTAAGTTTCAGGGCAGGAATTTCATCTATTTTGTTTGCTGAAAAATACCACGAGCATCTCAAACAGGGTCTGATACCTAACAGATGCTTAATAAATATGTATTAAATGAACTATATACACTGACTATATACAAGATACAGACCACACTCTTTTGCATAATAATTACTAGACTATTTATTTTAGCTTCCCATGTGTTGCATCATGGTTTGTTCAGATGTTAAATGGAACAATAGTAGTTTGCCCATTGATTTATTTTTGTTTATGAAATTTTAAAGTACTTCTTTAACATGATAAGTTGCCTCTTGCAGACATTCATCATATTAATACATTGAGTGTGTGTGTGTGTGTGTGTGTGTGTGTGTGTGTGAGAGAGACAGAGAGAGAGAGAGAGAGACTGAGACCGAGACAGAGATTCATGTTTTGGTTCATAAAATCTTGTCTGTGTTTTTAACAAAAGCTATTAGTACCTACCAGTATAATATGTTTGTATTATTAACATGAAGGTGTTGGCCACAAATTACTTTTCTTTAGGAATCTTGGAATGAACTCAATGAACAGAAAAAGCAGGACTAACCTGATCTTCACTCTCACTGGCAGCATCTGGGATGAAAATGTAGAAACCAAAGTTAAGGAAATGTAAAATATTTAATAAATAAAACAAATACTTCATTTAATGCAATGTCTTGATTGCTTTAATGACAATATGTTGTAAAACCACAAATCCCTTTTGAACACGTTAAGATTTACCACGGTAAATAAAAGAAGATTACTGTACCAGGAGATCAGTATAAACACTTACAAAGGTCTAATCACACAGAAAGTTCCAATTACCTTAGAAAATAATACTCATGTGAATTCTAACCCCAAAAAAATAGCTCATCTTCAAAAGGTCCTTTTGGAGTAATAAATGGCGCCTCACTTTTAAAATTATAATATAACATACATGCAAAATCCTATACCAACTATAATATAATTTGACATTATATTATTTAATTTTTTATTTTTGAAATTGCATTTCTGAAATTAAATAATTATAATTTTTGAAATTAATTGATTATTATAACATAATTTTTGAGATTATGTTATAGTTTCACTTGAAAACTATAATATAGCATTCACCTGAAACTATAATATAGCATTATATTTATAGAATGTTTAAAATTTAATTTTCTGAACCTAGCAGTTCTGCCTCCTTATAGGTACCTACACACCTATTTTAGGAAAGTGGGCATTATTTGTATATGATCTCAGACTATCTCTGAGATTCTCTTTTTTCAAATTTAAATCTTCCAGAGCAACCTAAGTCTAGGCAATTTGTGTTCTCTTAGGGTTAAACAGCAAATGTAAAAATCTACCTTCCAGCTCCCACAAAAGTCCCTTACTCTTGAGAGAAATCCTTCCAATCCATTTAGCATTTGAAAACACAAAACTAAAATAAACTAGACATTATTGCTTTAAAATAAAAGCAGATTTAAATTTTAAAAATATTTAGTTTATACCTATAGCATTAAAATATGTATTATTTACAAATAAGTTTTAAATGTCTATTACATATATATGTATATGCACTATGAATTGATGTATCTGGCAAGAGGAAAATGAAGAAGAATCTATTCAGTTTTCAGAACTAATAAAAAATTAATGAAAGAATTTCTTGTGGATAAAAATGCAGATCCAAAGTACTTGCCATTTCCAAAGATAACAACATAATTATAAAGGCATATATATAAATCTTCAAAACTCTGTGTCTGGCAAGATATTTCAGGATTATACATACCTACGTAAACAGTTTTTGACAGGAGTAGGGGGAGAAAAGTCCCTTTCCCAGGGCTTTGAGCTGTATGGCGAGAGGCTTAGATTACACACAAATTGCTCACCTTGTATAAAGCAAAGAGCCAAGGGCAGAAGCATGGACACTGTGGCTGTCTTCATGTTGAAGATGATGCAAGTTGCCTACAGGTCCACTCTGTGCATTGCTCAGCGGGTGCAATGTGACTGAACTCGGCCAGATGAAATTTACTTGTATAAATACTCAAGCACTGGTGACACCCACATAAAACCAGTTGTTCAAGGTCATAGGATGTACATACCATACCACTTTAACTTCCTTTATTTTTTTTTGAGATGGAGTCTCACAGTGTGGCAACCGTGGCTCATTGCAACCCCTGTCTCCTGGGTTCAAGCATTTCTCCAGCCTCAGCCTCCCAAGTAGCTGGGATTACAAGCACCCACTGCCATGCCTGGCTAATTTTTGTGTTTTTAGTAGTAACGGGGTTTCACCATGTTGGACAGGCTGGTCTCGAACTCCTGACCTTAAGTGATCCCCCAACCTCAGCCTTCCAAAGTGCTGAGATTACAGGCATGAGCCACTGCACTCAACTAGCTTCCATTTTTTAGGATCCCTTCATAAGTGGGAGGGGAAAGGGAAGAAACAGATTGGTTGTCCTACCGGTCAGGTATAGATTTAAAGATTTCCACATCTAGAGAAACCCAGGGTTCCTGCTGCTTTCATTTGTAGATATTCTGAAGTCTCTGAGTTCAGTGTCACAGACTCATATATATGTTAGAGTTGAACAACTCTAAAATATAACATAGCTAAATTCTCATGTTGAACATATGGGGAGGCCGCAGTCTTTCTCATAAGCAGACAGTTTAGATGGAACAGGCAGAAGAGGCATCCAGCACTTGTAAGCAGACCACACATACGGCATTCTTTCCTTTCTGTAAACTGCTTCACCCTTATACATTTAAAAAGGCAGAAACTTTGGAAAAATAAAGCTTGTATATAACTACTTTTAAAAATTCTCCATCTGAAGGATATTTTATATCTTGAAGCCGTACTTTATATTCTAGCCAAGCATCATAATCATAAACACTGGAGACTCGGTTTAACTTTCCATAGCCCATGATTACCCATATTACTGTTTGAGAATTTTGGCTCAATCAGTTTTCCCTAAATTAAATTTCTTCCTGTATCATCCATTATTTAGTCTCCTAAAAAGTAAAGAAGAAACAAGCTGTTAAAAATTATAAATATGTAAATGTAACATTTTCTAAATAAAGTTTCTTCTCCTTAGTTTCTTCTTTCATCCTACAAGTAATACCTTTTTTCTACCAGCTTATTTTGCCCTAATAGCCTAAGGAAGCACCTGAAGAAACATGTGAAGATGACTAAAACCAGAGCAAAATTGTTTCACTCCAGTACTTCTCAGGGTCTTCACATCCATAGAAGGAAAGTTTGAGACTTTATGCAATCAAAGGCCTTTTTATGATGGTTCCAAAAAACTGATCAAGGTTAGTCAACTTTGGGACTATACCAGTATTCTGAGATTTATCTAAGTGAGATAATATGTCCTTTTTTTCTCATAATTTATTTCCTATAAAAATATAATCATTTTGCTGGGTGCAGTGGCTCATGCCTGTAATCCCAGCACTTTGAGAGGATGAGGCGGGTGGATCATGAGGTCAGGAGATCGAGGCCATCCTGGCCAACATGGTGAAACCCTGCCTCTACTAAAACAAAAAATTAGCTGGGCATGGCGGTGCTTGCCTATCCAGCTACATGGGAGGCTGAGGCTGGGGAATCACTTGAACCCAGAAGGCAGAGATTGCAGTGAGCCAAGATAGAGTCACTGTACTCCAGGCTGGCGACAGAGCACGACCCTGTCTAATAGATAGATAGATAGATAGATAGATAGATAGATAGATAGATAGATGATAGATAAAATCATGGTCTGCACTATTGTTGTAGCTTTGCTCCTTTCCAGTGGAATAGTAAAATTAGTGACCACAGAGAGCAAGCTCAACTTGCATTACTGTTACAGGTTAGAAAATCTAATTCCATCACAGCTTAATGGAAAAAGAAATGAGACAGGGTTTAGAAATCTGTTTCTATTCCATATGGTCTTTTCAATTATGTAGGGCTAGAAATGAACCTAGCTTTGGAGGAAGGTAGATCTGGGTCCAAGGACTTGTTAGCCATGTTGCCTTGGGCAAGTCACTTATTTTTTCTAAGCCTCAGTTTCTAATACATAAAATAAAAATAACACCTACATTGTACTAGCATTATGAGATTTAGAGACAAATCATATATATATAAAATCTGTGTGTGTGTGTGTGTGTGTTTGAGAGAGAGAAGAAAGGTGCTTAGAACAAATATTAAGCATATGTGATAAGCTTGATAGTTAATGATAGTTGGTCTTGCATTTTTACAACATTGTAATAATGTGGTTTTACTAAATAATTTCTGAGATACCAAGAAAAGTCAACATCTCTTGATTGTGGATTTCACCAATACATTTACATTTATTCACAATAGAATAACTTCCCCAATACATTTTGAGGTGAAATTAAAGTATAAACATATATGTTCTCTTTTTCCCTTTTAATTGTATTTTAAACCGTAATGCCGAAACATCAAAACATTACCTGTTAAAACTTACATTGCTTGGTTTCAGTCAGCATTGATTTCTTGTGTCTGTCTCTACAAGTGTCTTCTAAATATTAACATATTCATACTAATTTTTTATCTTTCATCTGCCCTGTCAGACCATACGAAATGTGTCCTAACCATATTCTCTGTTATGGATGGTAAAAAAGTTTGATGCCTTAAAATCGAATCAATGATTGTGTATTATGCTCTAGCGACCTCTAGTCTAGCCCAAATGGAGAATATTCCCAGGAGCGGAAGTGGTGCTAGAGTGAAACAGAAGAACCAAAAGATGATTGCCTGTCTTAGGTATCTCTCTATGAGGAAACATTGAAGACGTTGGTTTCCTTCTTACTGCAAAGGAGCTGCTCAGTGATGCCAGCCCTTTCTGAAATGATGAATAAAAAGTTTGAAACTGCTATCTTTTCCAAACAGAGAAAGTAGTCAAAAGAAGATTCAGTGAGCACCACCAAAACTGGAATTATCCATCAGCTGGTTCATTTCATCAGGGCTTTTTCTTCATTTCATTTTAGGAATGTTGTATATCCAGAGGTGATTCATCACATGCTCTGTTAATCAGGCTTCATTTCTGAAAATCACCATGGATATTAAATTCAAATGAATGGGATTGAAGTTTTGGAGAACTTAAGTGTGGGTCAGAGTTAGGTTATCAGGGTGTTCTTCTAACTCAGAATGTCATCCTTGTTTTTAACTCTTTCAATTATTCATCAAACATGTAGAAACTTCTTTCCTCTCATTAGAAAGGAGTAGGTTTAGATAATAAAAACTACAAACTTTACAATCTTACAATTTATAAAGTTGGCCAGAATCTGAAGGATACTAACACAGGGGAAAGAAATGAGAAAATTAGAAAGATTGTTGTAGATCAATGATGTTAGTACAAAAAAAGGTTATTTCCAAAATATAAAGTTACCATATCATTCTTAAAGTCTTCTGTTTTTCTCTCCAGAGGGATCTTTGATGATAATAGTTAATAACTAACTATAGTCTTTTATGATTAGATTGCCTTCCGCAGCTTTGAAAACAACCTGCCATTCATTAGCTCATTTTATTTGTTTATACAGTGTTGTGAGGCAGCCAATTAGGTGTTATTATCTTTTCCTTACCTGAAAAAATTGGTGTCACAAAAAACCTGCAGTAGAAACTAGCTGGCATGGTCATCTCAGCCTTAACACTTTCTCACTTTTTATACCCTTAATTTCTCTGAGTTTCTCTGCGGCCATCTCACAGATTTTTATACAGTTCAAAGATAATACAGATATTATAGTACTTTAAACTAGATACAGCCCTATGCAAGCACACACACACACAAACACACACACACACACACACACACACACACACACACACAGTCACTTGAGCAAAAAGAGGTATGTTGTACCATGAGTAAAATTTATATATTCTAAAAGATCTTAGATGAAATAATTTTTTTTATTTTGTAAATTTTTTATTTCCTTTCCTGTAATTTTCATATTTTTCCCTATCTATTTAACATGTCTGAGTTCTCCTTTGTAAAAGACTCTAACTACAAAACAGCCTTTACTCATCTTCTTATCTAGTATTGTTCCATTATCAACTAACTTCACTCCCTCTGTGGGAATGCCTTTCTGTTTGTTTGGAAAGACTAAGGAACTATAGAGATAAGCATCTCATTTTATCTAAGAATAGAATGGGATGGGCATTGTTTGTTTACTGAGTATATAGACCCTGCTATTTATAGATATAAGTATTGCTTTTATTAGATTAGAATTAAGAAGACAGGAGTTTCAATGTCTAATTTTTAACTGTATTAATATTTTCGTATGGGGTTGTATTTTATTTTTTAAAACAACAATCAGCTTTTCCCTATGGTTGATATTACTTGATCCCCTGACCCATGACCCCACACTGTTTATCACTTAAAAAATTAGTACATTTTAAAGTCTCCTGGGATTTATCTTGACAATAGAAAACAGAGGTTTGAGGAGCTACAGTCTTTCAATAAATCATAACAAATTAATTCTGAAGTAGTTAAGAGTCTACCTAATTTTGGCAAAAAAAATGCAAATTTTATATTTGTAGTGTGTGTGTGTGTTTACAGTAAGCAAGAATGAAACTGTTAGATTTATAAACAAAATTAGAAAAAATAATCTATTTTTATAAAAGAATTTATAAAGACATAAAATTTGCTAACACTTTTCATACACTTAGGTACAGCAATAGAGGTTTGGTAAGATTCTGTGACTTTTCCAAGGTCATGCAGCTTGTTAGCAGTGATCTTGCAAATGATGATAGTCAATGTAGTAAAGACATTCATACTCCAGAGCCCAGCCTCTTAAACACTGCACACTGTAGTAACAACATTAACTACAACTGTAACTAATGTATCTCAGATATTCAGTGTTAAGTGCTAAACCACATCCCACAAAAATGTATGTGTTGAAGCCTTAAACCTCACTACCTCAGGATGTCCCTTTATTTGGAGATAAGGCTGTTAAAGTGGTGGTTAAATTAAAATGAGGTTATAGTTAGGCTTTAGACCAAACTAACTGATGTCATTAGAAGAGGAAATATGGACATACAAAAGAGACACTAGTGATCCACATACAGAGGAAAAACTACATGAGGACACAGTGGGAAATCTCCTATTGCAAACCAAAGAGGGAGGCTTCAGAGGAAACCAAACTGGCTATCACTTTGATCTTGAAACTCTAGCCTCCAGAAATGTGAAAATTAATACATTTCTCTTGTTTAAGTCACCCAGTCTGTGGTATTTCGTGATGGCAGCTCTAGGAATCAATACATTCATCATATGTATTGACCTAGTCACATGTATATTGTGTAAAAATGTATAGAAACAGTTACACAGGCGAGAATACAGTTTTATATATGCTCCTTTCTCTTTAAGTAACCATTATATTCCTGTAGAATAGTGTCAAAGAGAAACAGAACCAAATATTTATTAAAAGTGGCAAGACTCACTTTATCTGGGCTATTCCAGTAGAGAAAGGAAACTCCAGTATAAACCAAGCTCAATTCTGCTATAACCAAAGCAAGATGCTTTTTTAAAGCTGAGGTGTTCTGTATTAGTCCGTTTTCTTGCTGCTGATGAAGACATACCCAAGACTGGGCAATTTACAAAAGCAAGAGGTTTACTGGATTTATAGTTTCACATGGCTGGGGAGGCCTCACAATCATGGCAGAAGGCAAGGAGGAGCAAGTCACATCTTACATGGATGGTAGCAGGCAAAGAGAGCTTGTGCAGATAAACTCCCATTTTTAAAACCATCAGATCTTTTGAGACTCATTCACTATCATGAGAACAGCACAGAAAAGACCCACCTCCATGATTCCATCATCTCCCACCAGGTCTCTCCCACAACACATAGGAATTATGGAAGCTACAAGATGAGATTTGTGTGGGAACACTGAGCCAAACTACATCATTCCACCCCTAGCCCCTCCCAAATGTCATATCTTCACATTTCAAAATGGATCATGCCTTCCCAATAATGCTTCAGAGTTTCAACTCTGAAGTTTCAGCATTAACTCAAAAGTCCATAGTCCAAATCTCATCTGAGATAAAGCAAGTCCCTTTCACCTATGAGCCTGTAAAATCAAAAGGAAATTAGTTACTTCCTAGATACAATGTGGGTACAGGGATTGGGTAAATACAGCTGTTTCAAATGGGAAATATTGGCCAAAACAAAGGGGCTACAGATGCCATGCAAGTTTAAAATTCAGCAGGGCAGTCAAATCTTAACGTTCCAAAATTATCCTTTGAATCCATGTCTCATATCCAGGTCATAATCCTGATACAAGAGGTGTATTTCCAGGATCATGGGCAGCTTCACCTTTGTGGATTTGCAGGATACAAACTCCCTCCCGGCTGCCTTCACAGGCTGGCATTGGGTGTTTGTGACTTTCCCAGGCACATGGTGCAAGCAATCTGTGGATCTACCATTCTTGGGTCTGGAGGATGGTGGCTCTTTACTCACAGCTCCACTAGGGGTACCCCAGTAGGGACTCTGTGTGGGGATTCCAAAACCATATTTCTCTTCTGTACTGCCCTAACAAAGGTTCTCCATGAGGACCCTGGCCCTACAAAATCTTCTGCCTGGGCATCCAGCCATTTTTATACATATTCTGAAATCTAGGCAGAGGTTTCTCAACCTAGGTTCTTGACTTCTGTGCACTCACAGCCTCAACACCACATGGAAGC